AGTTAGCTGGGTGTGTACACAGAACAAATTGTATAACATCCCAACCTGTGTCAAGAAGCTTTTGACAAATTAAGAATAAGTGGAGAACCTCATCTCATGTGGTCCCTTTCCACGCCCTTTGTCACCTATGCAATGCACAGGTGCAACCAGGGATATTAGGGCTTGTGTGGAAACTGCTCTACCCAAACTTTGTTTGCAGCCTTATTTCTTTTGGCTCGTTACCCTTAGCCCAACTTCTCCTAATTGTCGCGTGTTCTGTGTGCCTGGAGACTTTTGATAAACTAATGGCACTGAAATACAGCTTTTGCTGCAGCGCTGTATGTGAGGGAGCAGAATGAATCTGTGCTTTGCAGGTATGTGGGGAGAAAGGTTGATGGTGGCTTTCTGGCGCATGTGTGTGTTTGGCAGTTGGCATGCATGGTGGGACTATCACATGTTTTGATCTGGATGTACCCATTATGCTAATGCCTACACAATAGTGGCTTCTGATGTAAACCCCCCCAAATCCCGCAGCTCTGGCTGAATGCTAGGTGAGACTGGACAGTGCCTACCAGTCAGCAAAGCTGAGCCGCCTTTGTTCTTGCTCAATTTTTTCAGGAGGGGATTTTCTGAACCCGATCCGCTGTAACAAGAGCAAGATGCTTATCAAGGCAGCTTGAATTATGCTCCCCACACCCTGCTCTCAACGTGCAAACCTACCGAACAGCGTGGGCGGCAAAGGGATGCACACACATCTTTCCTGTCTCAGCAGATCCCAGCACATGCTGGAGACGATCACAGCCGAGCTGAGCCAAACCAAATGCCCTTCTTGCAGCCGAATGGCTAAATAATCTGGTAGTGAAACCATCAATCCAATCAGACAAAAGCTGACAGGATTTATCTACATTCATTGCTTGGGCCAGCTAAAGGTAGCAAACCAGGACATGACTGGAATTTTAAAGCTGGTGCCGGGGGGGGGGGGGGGCAGCTAGGATCCCAGCGCAGAGAACTGCCAGGACCAGTCCTTTGGTGCGACAGACAGGTTTAAGCAGAAGGTGCCAGGACCTCAACAGGGTTCTTGCTTGGTATAATGTAATTCCCTGTATGTCTTATCTGAAAGAAGCAAACAGTTTTTATAGCCATTCATTTATACATTTAATCAAGGGGTGCAATTCTTCTAGGACTGGACCAAACAAGATCCAGGGTATGAACTCCTGCGTGCTTAAATGTTTCCATGACACAAAAACAAACATGTCTAGTGCCCAGAAAAAATACCCTGTTAAGGAGAAGGACTCTAGCCTAGCTTTCACCTTGATGTACTAATTTTCTACACAAAAGCAGTTTGGAATTGGGAGAGGATTCAGATGTAGAATTTTCCACTTGCATTTTAAAGGGCTGTACTATGTTTCTGCACTGATGCCTATACCCAGACTCCAAACACATTGATACATTCCCAAATGCAGAATAGCATCCAGACCATATGTTGATTATGACTTATTTTGCTATTTATCTTTTATTGCATTTTATGTAGACTGCCCTGGAAACATGGCTGGAGGGTAGCATAAAATATCTATAATATATAAGTTGTTGTTACGTGCCATCAAGTCAGCTCAGACTTATGGTAATCATGGCCTTACTTCTGTTGTGAAGTCCTTTTCCCAAAAGATTATGTTCAGATGACTTCACTAAAGGGCATAATACAGAAGGTGCAAGAACTTGGGAATCTACAGCAATAGGCAGCAACGGATAGGTGGCAGTGTAGGAGCAGATATAGTGAATCTAGGGTAGCAGAACTCAGGTTAAGAATTGAGTTTTAAGGATGACTTTTGCAGGAGGGCAGGCAGCTTCTCAAAATGTATTCTCAAGACTGTCCAAGTGGCTAATCTGCATGCACAAATTAGTTGATTACCATGCACTGGCTTACCATAGACGGGGCAGCTGCTGCATCACTCAGTCTAGCTTAGCTCAGGGGGTTCATTGTTGGTGGCCAGCTATTTTCCTGTTTTAGGTCTGCATTGAACTATGTAATTCTGTGCCTTGCTCTTGAAACAGGCTGATTAATTAAGCTGGCCAAAGCCGAATTCAAAGTGGACTGCAGAAAGTGCACAATCAGTGGGAGACAACATAGCAGAACACAGGCTGAAAGCAAAGTGAACTCGGAGATGGTACGTAGGTCAAAGAAAGGGCAAACACTTGTTCACCTTGAGAACTTGCAGCTCTTAAATGGTGGCTGCAGAGCCCAATGCTTGTGAATTGGTTTTTTTTTTTTTTAAGTCCACATCTAGCAGAGATGGAGAATTAGACCAGAGAAAGGAAATAAAGGGAATTTGAAAGCAGGATTACTGCTTAGGGTGTTCGTTCAGCCAAATGTCACATCTAAGAAACAGATTTTATATCGTTTATTTGAAAAAACCTAGTTAATCAGAGGTGACAATGAGACAAAGCACTTTTTAGAATTGTTTTCTAATTGCTTAAATTGATCAGCTGCTCAGGAATACAAAATGAATAATGGTTCTTAACTCGAGATAATATAAAGCATGTCACACAAACTAAACTGAAAAATGCAAGGACATTTGTATTTACTACACATAGACTAGCTAGACAGATAATTATCCGAGTCCAGACATTCATTTTCTTATAATTAAGAACAGATTTTTTAAAAAGCTGCCATGGTCACCAAGGCTATTACATCCCAAATTTTATGTTATTGCCCACCTCCTCTGGCCTACATTCATTCTCTACTGTTGTGCATATTATTAACCAAGCTATTATCACAAAATAAAATACCAGTTCATGTATCTTAGATATTGTTGTATGGAACAAGATGGGTGGAGGTGTATATGCACATGTACATATACCAAGGATGGACTGATTTGACAAAGTCTACTTTTCACATTATTATTCAAAGTCTGATGGCCCACCAAAGCATTTCATATTTGCAAAACAAAAGAAAATATTCCTTGTTCCATTTTCTCATGCTCCCCTATGCATCAGCCAGCATTCTGTGACTGCACATTGAGCCTGGCCACCGCTAATCACAGGGTTGTTTTGGGGCTTCCCCCATTAAGTTTTTTCCCCTAAATACGTTTTGTTATTCTGCAAACCTCAGAGCTCCACAGGTCTGTGGACGCCTCCTTCTTGAGTGTGAATGGTGCCACCTTGGCTACGCGAGGGTCCATTCTTAGAGAATGAGTTCACTATTAGATGATAGGATGCCTTGTTCAGTCGCAATTATGTCTATCTGGGACAAGGATTCCAGTGATCAGCACTTGCTTCAGCTGTGGCTCCCCAAGGAAGCACCAGAGGCACCTCCAACAGTCGCTGGAGTCCAAAACCTTCCACCCCATGCCCCTTCTAGTTTTAATTTTCAAAACTTTGAAAGCATCCAACCAGCAGGATCTTCTTCCTTCTGAGCAGGTGCTTGGTGGACCAAAGGAAAAGGAAAAAGTTGTGTCCCCACTACACACGCACACAATCTTCTTCTTCCGTACCTGCAGACCTTTCAGCTTTGCTGTTCCCCTGCTCCTAAGCCCCTCACTTTGGTATTTCTTTCCAGCCAGTCTTTTTCCTTGCTCTTTCCCTCTTTCCCTATCTCTGACCATTTTCTTTCTCTCCCTTCCTAGCCCCAAAACTTGCTCTTTCTCTCCTATTTGCCCCTTTACCTGGCTGCTTCTTTACGCTCAGCCTCTGGTCTAGTGAATTCTCCCCCAACACCCCCCCCCAACCCCTTTTCACTGCCCCATTTCTCTCCCTTCCAAGCTTCTAGTCTCGGTCCTTCTCTCCCCACCGCACACACCTCTTTTGACTAGCCAGGCCTTCCCAACAGCCACTGTGTGACTGACCACGTCCCCCACGGGAACTTTTTGTGGTGGTGTCCATGTCCACAACATTGCTCAAATTCCCTAGTGTCCCCTCAAAGTTTGGGGACACCCTGCCAAGAATAAACCAGCCAGTAGTCCACCAGCAGCAGCTGCCTTTTACTGATTGCTGACATGCACCTTGGGAAACAAGAAGCTTCTCAAAACCAATTAAACTTTTTCAAAACATTTGTCTCTATCCTTTCTATGGACAAAGCTCCATAATGCTACATTCATAAGGATCTTCATTTTCTCTAAACTATCTGCCTGAGCTGCATTTTTTCTCTCTCTCTGTAGAAAACTATCCTAATTTCTATTTGTGCTACATTTTTCTGAAATGTTCCCTTTTGAATTCTGCTTATTTGTAATTTTATAAATTATAAATAGCAATTGCTCCATTTGTGTTCCCTCCAAATTGTTTTGGAAGTCCTACTTTGAATTTATTTGAAAGTACTGGATTCTGCTTCAATCAGTCAATAACATTTACTTGGATGGGTATCTGACTTGTCTACTTGGGAACATAAATCCAAAGCTAAAGAAGAAAAGGCTGAAGGGCACTAATCACAGATTTGGGCTTGCATATACTGTGTTCCATATCTAATAACAGTATTATATGGAATATTGCTACACTGCTTCACATTACATAGTAAAGATGCATTTTCTTACAAGGAGTTTATTGTTGGTTGAGCATTACAGTTTGCAAAGCTTGGGAGATTTACACTAAATCTCCTTTTGTTTCTGAGGAAGCACAGCCGTGGCATTTTTGGAAAACACATTTATCACAGTTGGGGTACATGCAAATGAATGCAGCATAGCTGAGTTTGTGTCCGGCACAAATGCAATTGCTGGAGAAGTCAGAGCAGTCGGAGAGGGTGCGTGTGCAGGGAAATGGCCCTTGCAGGTGCCTCTGCTTTGGTGTTTGTTTCTTTTGAACTCAGGGAAAAGTTAGTGGGCAGTGGTGGGACAATGACCGCATGGGATGGTTGTCTGGCATGGCTAAACCACCAAAGTCGCCACCTGTGATTGAGTTTTGGATGCCTGGAGAGGAGCGATAGTAGTAATGTACAAAGCAGTTCCTTGGATAAGTGGTGAAGGCCGCCCATTTGCACTGGATTCTTCCATAGCCTGGTGGGCAGCTGCGTCATCTCTCATTTCTTGTTCCAGGTCCGCCTGGTTATCGCAGAAAAGGGCTTACCATGCGAAGAGCGGGATGTTAGCATGCCCCTGACTGAACACAAGGAGCCCTGGTTCATGCGACTTAACCTTGGGGAAGAGGTACCTGTGATCATCCATGGGGACAACATTATCAGCGACTACAATCAGATCATTGATTACATGGAGAAGAACTTCACAGGAGGTAAAAGTCTAGGGCAGTGTTCTTCACCTCAAGGCCCAAGGGCAGCATCTGATCACCCTGACTCTTGGGCTATGTTGTTGTTCTTGTTGTTAGTCGTGAAGTTGTGTCTGACCTATCGTGTCCCCATGGACAACATTCCTCCAGGCCTTCCTGTCCTCCACCATCCCCTGGAGTCCACTTAAGCTCACGCCGACCATTTCAGTGACTCCATCTAGCCACCTCATTCTGGGTTCAGACAACATGATAGCCTGTGCTTAAGGGCTGAGTGTGGATTGTCCTTGAACCATGAGTTGTTGTTGAGCCATGAGTTAAAATATTGCCTGACCCGGCCTTGCTAAGAAACCGTGGTTTATTAATCATGGCCAACTCATTAACAGAACTCATAGTTTGTTGTCGGGCTGTGAGCTGTGGGTTGTTAATGTGGCTGTGTTCAGACAACATGATAACCCACATTTCAACAACAACCCATGGTTCAGCAACAATCCACACTCAACCTATATTCAGCCTGTCCATGTTGTCTGAGCTCAGCCATTCACTCCTTTAAGCGGCAGGTGATTACGTGCCACAGGACCTCTCTAGACTTTCCTTGCTGCGATCTGAGCTGGGGCAGGAAGCTTCAGGGGTGGACACCAAGGGACCTGCTGCTTGTCAGCTATCTAGTAGTCGCATGGTTGTGCATGAGTGAGGGCCCATTGGCTTTTGGGCAGTGTAGAAAACAAACAAGCAAATGCAGAAACTAGTAGCCAGTGAGTTGCAGTGGAGAAGGAGCCCAAGAGCTGAAGAGCCACACGACTGGCTAGCTGTAGTGCTGCAGGGCATGGATGCTGGAATGTAAACTGAATCCAGTGGCGAGGAAGAGAACAAGCAGACCTGGGCTGTGAGATTTTCCCACATTGAGAAAAGCACATTATCCTCTTGATCCTCAGGAAAAATCCATCTAATCTAAGGATTATATGAGCCTATCAGAAGTTGTCTGCCTGGTGAGTGAGTGATGAATCCTCTCAGAGAGGACACAGGGGAGGAGAGACTTCCAAAGGCCAATAGCTGAAGCTCTGTGGGTGGAATAGAACTCAGTTCATAAAACAGAAATCAGTTTATTAAGTAAAAATAAAATAAATGCAATGCAAATACAATTAAATAGCATAAGATACCATAAAAGCAAATTAAATGTCATTTGAACAATTGAACACATTCAATGCATTCAATAAGCTAGACCACTGTAGACACAAGCTGACATGTGCCATTAAATGCCTCAGCATGGAGGAAAGTTAACCTGATGCTGGAAGGATAACAAAGTTGGCACCTGGCAGGCCTCAGTGGGGAGCTTGTTCCATAATCAAGGGGCCACAACTGAGAAGGCCCTCTTCCTTCTTGCTGTCAACTGAGCCTCTTTTAGAAAATCTGCAGCCTTGATTATGACGCCTGCTCATTTTAAAAACTGTGTCAGGAACATCTGCAGAGCCATTTTACTTCCGGTGATCCATCATCCCACAGAATCCCGCAAACCAATTTGCTGGGCTGCTTCACAAGTATTCTGCTCTCGGTTGAGGCCACGTGAAGTAGATCTAGACCAACTTTCTCTGATTTGGTATCCTCTGATGTTTTGAACTTTAACTCCCATCAGCCACAGCCATTATGGCCAATAGCTATGCTGGCATGGAATGGCCAGAATTGCTACCCATCCCATCTGGAAGGCACCAGGGTGTGGAAAGCTGCCACTCAAACATGGATCTTGGAATATAAGCCCATTGGGAAACTGATGAACTTGGTGTCAGCCAGCCTTCCTTAGCCAGAGACCCTCTGGATGTTTTCAGCTTCGATTTCACTCCACCCGGCCAGCATGGGAATGCTGCGAGTGGTCATCCAAAGATCTGGAAAGCACCATGTCAGAGATAGTTTTATTTGAACCAGAAGTGTAGCTCCACTCACAGCTGCCATAGGCAGGAACATTTTGCACATGCCTTTTAGTCATTATAGTCTTGTTATTTTTTGACGAACAGGACACCAGCTGGAAGAACTTTATCCTGGGAAATGTGATAATCACATTCTCAGGTTCTTCGTTTTGACATGTGGCCCGATGTTTACACGGGATTTTTATCTACTTTGACGTGTTAGTATTTTCATTGTGGCCTTCTTTCCCATTGTTTCCTTTCTGCTTCCAAAGCATTCAGACTGTCAGGCTGAAAGACTTCAGAGGCATAGGAGGGACATTTCAATGGGCTCTTTGTAGCAGCTGATGTCACTGAACCTATCATCCATGCAAGCAGAAGCTTTAAGAATGGTCTTAAAATAGATCTATAAAAATAGGGACCTTGGCAGCGCTACGGCATGCTCCAATACCTGGTATTCAAGTGAACACCCCCCCCCCCACCCAGCCACTGCCTGCCTCTGACTGCATTCAGCAAATATCAGCAAGGAAAGGAAATGTGGCTAGCGAAATATAAAACCTTGGAGAAGAAGAGGGTGCTGGTTGATTAAAAAAAAACACACATTTGAGATTTCACTTCTAAGCGTATTTGCCTAGAAGTGAAGGTGAAGCAAGAGACTGTGTTTTTTAAGCATGGGCAATCACAGGGTTAAGTTCCTCCAGAAATGAACTCAGGAAGAAAATGATTCTGCCAATATTTAGCACAGACTGCCTGTATGCCATGCTCCTCAATCTGTGATCTCCCATGCCCAAGCCTTTGCACTTTGGGGAAATGTATATATAATTATTTTGGCTACAAATGAAGTGATAAACACATGCAGTAACTTTAAAAAATAAGAAAGGCGACCTTCGTCTGAAACACAGGGGTGGAGGAGGGCAGAGGGACAGAGGTGATGGCTATGTGCTGTTGGTATGTTACTGGTGTCATTTTAGCTGCAAAGCCAGAAGGAAACCGGGCTCTTCAATGCCCGAGGCAGCTGCTGAGACACTGTGCCAGTTACCAGGCTATCTAAGTGGCCAGACATGGTATTTTTGTCCTTCATATGGCTTGGTATTTGATGCTGTGGGCAGGGACTTAAACTCCTCTGGTATCGGGTGCCATTGTGGGTCACCATGTTGGGGTAGGGTCAGAGCTGAAGGGACAGGCTAATAGCCGGGGCGAGCGAGAGGGATTGGCTAAAGCAGGAGTGCAGAACCTCTCTCAGAGGGGTTCTTGAGGGACACAACCTAGCGGGTGGCCTGCAGGGCTGGAGACAAAAAGGACGGTGCCAAAAGACAGAAATACTTGTTGTTATATTTGCATCACACTTCTGCCCTGCCTTTTTGCCTCTTGCAAGGAGTCCAGAGTGGCTTACATGATCCTTCCCCGCTTCATTTTATCCTTCCCTGTGAGGGAAGTTAGGCTGAGAGTCCATGACTGGTTCATGAAGTTCCCCAGCCAGGGAAATTCATGGGAGGCAGGGACTAGAACTTGGATTTCCCAAGCCCCAGTCCAACACTCTACCCACCACACCACATTTAAGCAAGAAGTAAGCTCTAGGAGAGGTGTGTCCACCTTTTCGAACGGGGAGAAAGGCACAAAAGCTGAGAAACCTCCCAATGGAGATGTGTGCTTTGAAAAAGCAACCACTGTGGCATATGATTAGGCAGTGGTAAGTTCTTACTTGGCAACATGGTCTTACTCCTATGCAGTGCTACAGGCTCAGGGCTGGTTGGGCGGGGGCAGCATTTTTTCTGCTTTGGAGAGGACAGTCCCATGTTTGAAGGCATCTTCAACGTCAGGAGTGCAGAATGTTTTCGTGATGGGGAACCAGACCGCTTTCTACCAAGTTCTCAGTGGGCTGGATGAGGTTGGCGAGGGTGGTCATGCTGTCATCACCACCCTGCTGACTGCCCATTTTGGTGTTCTCCAGGCCGAGAGAGGCATGAAATAAGGAACTTCAGCTGGGACTGGAGGGATCTTCAGTTGTTCTCACTTTTCCTAGAAGCAGCTGAGTTCCCTGCGAGATGCATCATCCAGAGGGAGAGGGGAAAACAGTCCACAGGGAAAGCCCCCCACTATTATCCCTGATTTCAGATCAGAGACAATGGTGATTCCTTCTGACAGGTGTTCCTCTCTAGGTGACAGGGCTTGGAGACAAGTCAACCTTCTGGAGGAAACTTTCAGGATCTGCAGAGTGATGCAGCTCCCCCTGGTGGCCTGATCAAGAAGGCAGCTTGGCCCATCTTGCAAGTGGCTGCATGTTTGGTCTCAGATCTGTAGGTACTTGTAGAATGAGGACCGGTGCAATCATGCAGACCAGCTGAGAGCAGCAGGAAGCAAGAAGTCTTCAGAGTGGCTGCTCTGGCTTGTGCCTGCAGTCCTGCAATGACTTTACTCGTGTAGTGACTCCTGCCGGTTCCTGAAGATGCTTTTGCCTTTGCTTCTACCTTACCTTGTTGGCAGCTGAATTTCTCTGAATTTCTCTTTTTACTCTTCCTTTGTCTCTGATCCTTCCATATTCCATTGATATCTGTCCCTTGCCTGTTCCTGATTTTGCCTTTGCTTCTGGCCCTACTACATCTAGCCAAGTTCTCCATCCACCTTGGTCCTCATGTTCCAGCTGAGGATGCCTGCTGCCTATGTACTGGAGCTGACAGAACCCCAGTTGGTTGTATGCCAGATTGAGGAGTCTGGTGGGTTGGATTAAATCTATTTGCTGAGGGCTCTGCACCCCTCTTTTATGGGAAGGACTGTGCAGTTGAATTCCAGTTTAAAGATAAGCAAGTTTGAGAAGAAAAACGGGGGCCTTGAAATCACCTGTCAACAGTAAGCACCTGACTAAGGAGATGACACAGGAGCACAAATCTCCTGTCAAAATCTTCTCCACTTTCCTCCTTTTGGGTCCTGCTTAAGTGGCCAACTGAGCAAACAGCCAAGTAGCGCCCTTTGTTGCTGAGGATATTTTGGGGCAAAAAGAGGGGGATGTTTGTGCATGACTGAGTTGGAACAGGCTGAGTGGCGAGGATGTGTTTGACAACAAGGTCATTAGTAACAGAAGAGGCACATTCCTACCACCGTTTTCTTCTGGTTCCACTGTAGGAATGCTAATATTGAATGGAGAAGAACAGTTGAAATCTTCTATGAAGTGATTGGCAAAACATACCAAGTGATTGGTCTGTTTATTGACCTCATACATATACCTTTAGTCCTTTTTAAAGAGTCAGTTAAACCACAGAGGCTGAATTGGCATTTTTTTAGCAGATGCAAGAATAACTGTAAAAACTAGAAGGTTGTATATCCAATCAGCCATATGAATTAGTTTAGAAGGCCATGAAACCTGAGCTCACCAGCATATTTCATCAATAATTAAGAAGGAAAGATCCTGAAAATGCCATCTCAGGGTGGAGTAGGGGAATGATTCAAGTCTTTTCTACATAGGTAGGACTGCCAATTCTGTTGACTGGTTCTACTTCTGTGACTTCAAAAAAAGCATGACAGAAATCACATGGCAAGTTGTAGTAGCTGTATTTAGGCAAGACACCCATTGCAAAAGGCATAATATACCTTGCCATTAGTATTTGTGGCCTTATTTACAGTGGGTTAGATTTAGATGAAGTTAGTCATGTTCTATCCCAACTGAGATCCAGGAAACCAACCAAAGTACCACTCCAGGAACAGGACAACTCAGTGGAGATCCCTTGTCCCATTCCTGAAGAAGCAATGTTGAATAGTTCCTGGTTGTGCTAGCCAGGGCACTATCTTCCTTTGGGGTAGTGGAAACACTGGATGCTCCTCTGTGTTGGAATGTTCTCACAAGCACAATGGCAATATTTGATACTCCCCTTTGTTGGGGGCAAAGAAAATCTCAGAGTGCCAGATTGCTGAGGCCAAGCCCTAATCAGATATTTATTTAGAAGGAGTATATAGAAATCCCCAGAAAGCCATGGGCTACTTCATATTAATACGAAGCAGTGTGCTAGCCCAATCACACAGAGACTCTCTCTGTCTGCCCTAACTCCAAAGTCTTGATATTGGCCATCCAGTAGCAATCTTTATGTTGCCCATTTATTCTGCTTTTATTTTCTTTACCAATGCTCAAATATCCAATTTCTTGACATGTTGAATCTTGGATAAAAATATCTCACTCAAACTGAACCAGAACAGCAAATATACCCAATTTGTGTCATATTCTGAATACAAAATTTGGATTAAAAATGAAAAACCATTAACACACTGCTCGTGTGCTGGCATCTGCTTGAGCTTCAGTTTTTCTTGTTGCATTTCAGAACATGTTGCCCAGCTAATTCCTGAGGCAGGGAGCCTCCTTCACTCCCGAGTGATGCAGTACAGAGAGCTCCTGGATTCCTTGCCCATGGATGCCTACACCCACGGATGCATTCTCCACCCAGAACTCACCATGGACTCCATGATTCCAAAGTATGCTACAGCTGAGATCCGCAGTAAGTGGCCATTTCAGCAGGGCTGCCTAGTTAACTGTGTGGATGTTGATTGGTTAAAAAAAGTTTTAACTGTTACAAGATTTTGCAGGATTCCCATACCCAATATCATAAAATGCCTAGGAAATGATCAGCATAATAGTTGTGTTTGCATGACCCACTACCACTGATGTGCCTCAGAGATGATCCAGTACGTTGTGGGTAGCAGGGTCCCTTCCCGCCATCAGTTCTTCCACAAGTATCCCAGGGACACCACAGGCTCTTCCCACCAGGCCTGTCACTGCAACCCATTTTGGGGTCATCATGGCTTGGACTTCCCTTCAAGATCTTCGCCCTGAGCTGAAGAAAGGCAGCTGGTTCCATTTTTCCAGCCAAATGCAGTCCATCCAAGGGGCTGCAGTGGTAACTTGGAGGGGCTTTCCATAGCTGTCCCTCTTAAAAAGGGGGGGGGGATTGTTATTAGTTTGGGAACCCGATGACAGCAGCAGCCACGTCTACCTGGCAGCAGCTGGCAAAGGCTTTTCCCCTCCTCCTCTCCAAACAAACAGCTTCAGGATTGCCGTGGCTTGTCTGCTTCTTTAAGCAATCTTGTCCAGAGGGTGGAAGCTGGCTGGATCCCAGCAGAGGGTTAGACCAGCCTGCCTTGATTCATGCAGCTGAGGTTACAGAGGCAGGGCAAGTTGGCACCCAGCTCTTTACTTGACCTACAAGCATTCATGAAACACTGAAATGCCAAATATAACTCTGCCACAAGGGCATCTCTTAAAATGCCGTTTTGCTCTGAACAGTGACTTTGCCACAATTGTACTGCTGGGTCTTGTACGTCGCTGTCTCTGGATAACTCTGGATTTAGCTGCTCAATTCATAACTGTAAAAATGTCCCTACACTTGGTTTAGTATCTGAAAATCAGGCAATGTATGCTTAATGCTGAAACAAGAGGATTCACACAGGAGTGTCTTTTCCACCAATTGTCACCCCAGTTTGCTGCTGATTGTAGTTTCTGCTTATGTAACCCTATGAGAACAGACCACACATCCTGAAGCCTCCAGGAATGCAGACAATAATAAACCATGAAGCCTAGATAGAACCTCAGTGTTCAGAATCAGTATACTGATGATTACCCACAGCAGTGGAGAAAAGCTATTGCACTGATGTGCTGAAGGTGCCTGATTGGCCAGTGTGGGAAACAAGACTTTGGACCAGATGGACATTTAATTTGGCAGTCTTCTCCTTTTCTTCTTGGGCGGTTATCATTCGGAAACCACTTCTGCAAATGAGGAATTTTCATGGCACTAGGCTATGCTCATCAGGGTGCCCCATCTCATTGTCATGGCCTGTTGCGGTCAGAGAATCAGTTTAGTCCTCTGTTTAGCAGAACATTTCATCTTTCAAACCACTTTGGCAGATGGTACTAATATCCACAGTACAGCTGGGACTAAAATTGATGTGCAAGATTTGGTTTGCTGGAGATTTACAAATGGTCCCAAGAGTTGCTACATTTCTTTGGCTAAAAGCAAGTGTGCTATTTATTTCACTAGAGATGGAGCCAAAAATATCTTTAAAGGCCTGTTTGTGAGGAAGAAGCTAAATTAATTTTATTAGTTGTGGCAAAATTGTTGTCCAAGAATGCATGAGTGCAGAACCTCAGGCTGGGGAGGCAAATCTGCCCGCCCTGAGGTCCCAGGTTGTGCAGTTTCCCCCCATTCCCAAAGGCTGAAATGCAACTCCTAGGGCTTGGTTCAGGTGCAGAAAACAGTAAAATGGCCACAGTGAGTGAGCATAACTAGGCACAAGGAACAAATAGCCTGTCAGAGGCATTAATGGGAAATTAAGATGGCGGAAGCTCCCCTTCATCATGAAGCAATCTCAGGTACCAGTAAGACAATATGAAAATATTTGCCAATAAGAATGGGGAGTGATAGGGTGCTTCAGCAGGATCCAAAGAAGGCGACCAGGGACACATTGTAACTGTAAGCACCATTTTGCCTACCCTGACCTAATCCATGGCAGTTGGGATGTTAAGCTAAAATATGCTGGCATTTTGTATATGTTTAGTCCCATCCCTCTTGTCTTTGGGCCCATGCCCCCAAGAGCTTCTCCAAAATGGAAATGGTTTTGATTCTCACCCCTGCAACACTGCTTCATCGTTTCAAGAACCATACAGTATACAGATTTCTCTGAAGTCTCTCCCCCACTAGGACTTGTCAAGTGGTATTCTGGAGACTCTGAGTGCTTTTACATTGTCAGTTGATCTGGGAAACAAGATGCCACAACTTCTCTTCCCCAAAATCCTGCTGTTGGTTTTGTCCGCTACAGAAGGCTGTGGGGCAGGTGTCAAGGGGAGCATGGAGGCAGTTGGTGGGGGCGGGGGGGACTACAGCTGCTTTTTCCCTTTCAGCCAAGAATTTAGAGGTAAAAGTAGAATCTCCTGGCTGTGATCTGGCAATCTGACTTCTGATGAAGTGCAGAAAGGTAGATGCGTCCTGGTGATTTTTCTTAAGGGCAGTGGTCCAGCACTCCCCATGCAATGAGGCAGTCTTTTCTCCCTCCCACGAAGACTAATGGCTCCTGGCCCAGAAGTAATATTCAGGACTATCGTGCTTTGAGTAAAGTGTGATTGGAGCATGCATTCAGTGACAAAGGATGACACTAGAAGAGTCCTTTGTGTGCGCCGGAAAACAGAGAGAAAGAAAACCCTGGCACCCAGATGCTCTTTCTATCCTTTGCCTAAATTTTCTTTTCCACTATGTATGAATACGTTAATTACCATCAACTTCTTGGAGAAGCCCTCATTGTAGCTTACAACCCTTCATCACATTCAGGTGAACATCTGTGGGTGGAGGGTTAGATAATGACATTGCACCAACATAGGGCACCTTTTCAGAATGATCAGTTGCAGCAACGAGGCATATTGAAGCTCTCTGGCAAATGATACTCATGGCAGGATGCCATTCCGGGTCAGGGCTGGCATCACTTGCACAAAGATCACTGAAGTTTAAAGGCTGCCAAAGCCAGTGGGGTAGAACAGGAAGGGAAGAGACAGATGGTTCATGCAAGACCAGTTCAGCTAAGATTAAAGGAATTTATGTTCATTTCCCAACACATTGCTCTGACTTTCTCTTTCCTTGTGTTATATATTTATCTTTCTTCTCTAGCCCAGCTACTGAGTGTCTCAATTAAACACCTATTCCACCTTGACTGGCAACTTGAATATATGGACCTCATTTTCCTATATATTTGGTCATATGAGGTGTGGAATCCTGTGATGCATCGCAGGGACTAACTGGATGTTACTCAAGAGATCTGTAGCTGTATCCCCCAGAAGTAACTGTGGAGAGTGAGCCCAGTGGTGGAGTGCATGTTTTGCATGCAGAGGTCCCAGACTGAATCCCTAGCATCTCCAAATGGGGCTGATGAGGTCTTCTCTCTGAAATCCTTGAGAACTGTGGCCAGTTAGCATTGATGATACCAAGCTAGAGAGACAAATGACCTAGCTTGTTGCAAAGCAGCTTCCTATGTTGTTAATGTAATTTCATCTTCTAAAACCAGGGATGGGGCTTTTCCAGCTGGATTCAGATGATAACCCACATTCGGGGACTCTGAAGGTGAGCTAGACCAAAATGAGGAAGCATTGGAGTGTGTTACTGAAATGTCAAGATTAACAAGCAAGTTAAGCCAAGCAACTGGTCAGTACCAGATGGGGAGGAGACTGTAGAACAAGAGGGGTCGGGGGAATGAACTCATCAACCAAATGGTTCGTTGTCGAGTCGAATGAGCAGATCAGTTAAGTCATGTCCAGTTTTTCCTTCATCTGGCCCAGAAGCATCATGAATCTCCCTGAGGGTGGCAACCCCCTTTTGGGGAAAAAGAGAGGATTCACTTTGGAATCCTCACATGGGCAAGAGCTATCAACTCCACCCATCAGCAAGATCACTACTTTGATAGATGCTACTTGCTAACAGCTCTATTATTGCTCACTGTACATTGCAAAGCCAGCTTAGCTAAGTGATGAATGTTGCTTTAGAATCTTTTCCCCTTGGTCTGTTGAAAAGGGAAAAGAGGAATTCAACAATTATGTTGCCTAAACCTCACGGAGATGGCAAATTCTAGTGAACAACCAACAAACCATGGGTTCTCTGCATTGTTTGTGGTTAACAGTACACAGTTTCTTAGCACAGCTGGGTTCAGACAACATGATAACTCATGTTTCAACAACAACCTATGATTCAACAGCTTCCACTCAGCCCTATAGTGTGGATTATCATGTTCTGTGAACCCATTCTCTGAGTTGCATCCAGATTATAACATGGAGAGGAATATTTAATCCTTCCCCTTTGCATCAATATCCCATTCCAAATTGGGGGCTCCATTCCCATTCTAAATTACCTTTAGAAGAAGAAAATTATGCTAGAAGGGCTAGTCATGGGTCTCCCACAGAAGATGACATTTGGGCCCTACCTTAAAAGCCAATTCAAGTAACAGTTTTGGGGGGCTTCCCATCTCTATCCCACCCCTCATCCTCGAGTTGAAAATGTGTCTGGCAAAGCAAACAGCTTGTATGAATCTGATCTCAGCCCTTCACTATCAGCTGGCATGATAACTGGTAAGGTGTCCAGTGCTCCACCCTGTCTAGTTTTCTGGGGTCAGTCCCAGCTGTTGGAGCCTGAGGATTTGGGCAAGGGAATGGCATTGGTTCCACTGACTGCTTGCCTTTTCACCCTTGCCCATCATGGCTGAATCAAGCCAGCTGAGAAGGGGTGACTGAATTTACCTGTGAGTGCTAAATGTCCCTCTGCATGGGACAGCTATGCATGGTGCCCGTAAAAAGGCAGCGGTGCGACCGCTCTTGACAAAGCCTTCACTGGATCCAGAGAATTATAGCGACTCCTGCCCAGTCACAAACACCCCCTGCCTGGGCAAGGCACTCGAAAGGGGAGTAGTGGACCAGAGGCAGGTGTTCTTGTAGGATGACCTGAATCCTGTGCATGACCTAGGCCAGTGCTTAGAGGCAGCAATGAGTTGGATAAGGGCCCGTTAGTTGAATTTCCGCAAGACAGGGATACTGGCTGTGTTTGCATCATACAACAACCCATCTGGTGACTTACTTGAAGGCAACGATTCATAGATTGTTGTACCTGTGATGCTTGGCATGTTGTCCCAACCTGAGTGACCAACCCCATTGTGCGTGCAGGGAACTGGCTACCAGAACACTTGACAAAAGCAGCAAACCCTCTTGCTGTTCTTGCTAAGTGACTCCTGGGTGTCTGTCAGTGCCAGGCACCCCAAAAATGCCCAAATAATATTTGGGAGTGGCAAGCAAAGCTTTCCTACTCCCAAAGTAATCCTGAGCTGTTCTGGGCTTACCCAGCTTTCTCCTTTAGCCTTATTGTTTTTATGATCATGTAAACTGACTTTCAAACCAATGTTTGCAGTCCCTATTTTGACAGCTATTATAGTCCTTTCAAACTGCCCTAGCAGCACCTTGGAGGGTCTGCTGTGGTTGTCAAGGGGAGGATGGGGCTGAACAAGCCACAATAAGCTCAATCGTGGCTTATTGCCAGATTAGCTTGGTGTGACTTGTGAACATGCCCACTGTGGGTGAATGATACCCAGGCCCAGAAATTATGGCATTTACTTGAATGGGCTTGCTCGACCCTTGGAAGAATGTATGTACACAATTTAGGAGGTGCACCTAGATTCATCATTGTCATTAGAAGCCCAAGTGACTTCCGTGGCACAGAACACCTTTTACCAACTGTGGCTTGTGTGTCAACTTGTGCCCATTCTGGGACAGAGATAACTTAGCCACCTGTTCCAATCATTGGTAACCTGCAGACTGGATACTGTATTTCTTTCTCTTTGAGGTTGCCCTTGAAGCTGATTAGGATAGTAAAGAATGGTACACCAAGGCTTCTGAATGGAGTTTCATGCCAGGTGCATGGAATACCTGTGCTGGAGGAGCTGCACTAGTGACTAGTTTTCTATAGAGCTGGGTTCAAAGTTATTGACAATTCTTAGGACCAGGTTACCTAAAAGACCATCTTTCCCTATAAAGAGCCATTGAACCACTGCAGTCTTCAAGGGAGGTTTGTCAAATCCTACCAGGTTGCATCTTGCAGTACCACTGCAACAGACCTTCTCTGTGTTGGCTCCCTCTCTCTGAAATGACCTCCGCTCTAGGGTTGTGTGCTTTTGACCATTATTAAAAATGTACTTGTTTACCTTGGCTTTTCCCAAGCATTAAGTTGCCCACATGTTGTGCTTTTATAATGATGCATTGTTTTATAAATGGTTGTAAATTTCTTCAGGAGTTTTTTTAAACTGGGAAATGTTATCTGAATATTTTAAAATAAAAAATACATATCTGGATTGCAACATGAGAAAGCAGTTAAACCTTTATAAGGATTTGCATTCTGTACACTTCATGGGCAACTGCTTGTGGAAAGAAGCTTTTTTTAGTAAATATTCTCACTTGGTGACAAATAGATTACATGACTCATTTGTCACCGTAAGAATGTGCAATTTGGCATGTTACCACAAATCTGTGCTGGCACAGAAAACTGTTAATGGTGAGGCATTCAAACTGTCTCCATGGGGAAAAAGCAAAGAAACAAAAGGATACCAAAGTATGGTGATCGTACGAGGAACTCTCTCATGTGACCAGAAGTATCCAAAAGGGCTTGGGCTGGATCAAAGGATGCTTGTGCCTTTAAAAAGAGTAAGGGTAAGTTCAGCAAATGAGACTGGCTGAGCATTGTGGCACAAGAGCATAATAGCTGCAAATTTGCAGTTATTAAAGATGAACAAACAGAAAGCTGCCTTAGACTGGGGCATCCTTGCAAATCAGTGTTGTTTCTTCACACCCCTCTTTTAAGATGAGCTCAAGAGATCAATGATATTATGGACTATTAGATGGGAGTTGGAATTAAAGTTTCATGTCAGAAGTGGATTATTCTACATTTCTCTAGGGCAGCGTTCCCTAATTGTGCATCCCTAGTCATTGTTGGACTGCAGTTTCCATCTTCTCCAGCCAGGATGGCCATTATACAGTATGTGATACAGTCCTACAGCATCTGCATCTCTGTGGTTGGGAAAGGGTGATTCAGAACAGGGTTCTCCATCCTGGTGGCCTCCAGCTGAATGGGGTCCATGACCCCCAGCAAGCGTGGCTGAGGGACTGTCATCCAACACATCTGGAGGGTTTCAGATTGGGAGAAGCTGAGGTGCTATAGCGGCCTTAATCACTCAGGTTACATTGAGAAATAAAGGGGCACTAGGAGGCTTCCTGTTTTGCTGAGCCAATGATGCGGTGATAATTAAAAGTGATTACTTACTGGAGTTGGAATCCCAGGACAGGGAAATGATGAAAACCAGCCATTATTGGCTTTATTATTCAGTTTGGCTAGAAGCAAAGATTCCTGCAAATGTGTTTGTTCAACACTGGGGCTTGTCCTTTGTCTCAAACAGGGCATTCCCGCACAGGTGTGGGTAAAATACATGTTTCCTAATTGGAACTAGCTGCCAAGACCTTGTCATGCCAGCTCTTAGTCACCTGCACTAGCCCTCTGTGACTTTCTGGGCACGCTTCAAGCTCCTGGTTATCACTTAAAGCCTTTAATGAACTGAGCCCAACAGCTTTCCAGGATCTTTGTGCCCCAGAAGCCAGATGTTGCTCCGGAAAATCTCAGTGGTAGAAATGGCCTTCCTTCCTGGAGACAAGCTCACCGCAGTAATGGAGGGCGGTGTGGGTGGTCCGACCTGGAAGATAATACAAGAGGAGCCATGGCTGCCCTTTCTTCTGTTGCACCAAGAGACACTAGTTGGCAATCCAGTTTCGGACATAACCTGATGCGGACTGGGACACAGCAGGGATGAGGGTCTTCTTTCCAGCAGGCTAAATTCAGAAACCCCAAATTACCTACAGAGACCTCGGTTGGAGGGGCTTGCTGCCGTTCCCCTTAAGGAAGGGAAAAGGTTGTGCACAACTGAAGTGCAGGTTCCTTCACCTTCCCCAATCAGGAAGAGGCCAGAAAAATGAAGCTCCTTCAGAATTCAGCTGGTATCTTGAGCGATGGCTCCTTGCTGAGCTAGCTGAGTCTGTTTCAGTCCTCCCACACACTTCCCAATTAAGTACCAGCAAAGATGGGCTAACTCCACCCACTTTGGGTTATATGCCCCCTGCGCTGACATGTGGCCTCTGATGTGCTTGTTTGGACCCAATTAAGCTTGGACCAAAAGAGGTTCTCCACCAATCCCGCATAGTGACATAGATGTGGAAGAAGCCTCCAAGGTTATTTAACACACATGCCAGTGCAGGAAATCTGTTATTGCAGGACCACTCATTACTAGCCATCCAGCTTCTGCTTAATAGACAAGCAAAGCAATTCCACCTCCTTCTGAAGCAGGCTGTCTTCCTGTTGAATGGCTCCAGCATGATCCCTGTTGTCCAAAATGAATCTACACAGGAGGTCAGGCATTATGTCCCAGCTCTCCACTAAGTTCAGCTGTTGTTATGTACTGTCAAGTTGTCTCCAACTTATGGAGACCCTATAAATGAAAGCCTTCCAAAATGCCCTGTCCATGACATCTGTTCAGCTCTTCCAAGTTCAAGGATGTAGCTTCCTTTATGGATTCAGTCCATTTCATATTTGGTCTTCCCTTTCATGTTCTGCCTTTGATATTCTCTAACATGATTGTCTTCTCCAGTGACTCTTGTCTTCTCGTGATGTGTCCAAAGTATGACAGCCCAGTTTTGCCATTTTTGCTTCTAAGGAAAGCTCTGGCTACTAAGACCCACTTAAGTTCAGCCAGCAGGGGTGATGGCATGCTTAGAACATCTTTAGTTGTACATACCCTTCTGGAAAACTCTTCCTAGAGAAATTTGTCCTCAGAAAAATTGTGTCCCAGACACTCTTGCAACACCTTCCTGAAAATAAATGCTTTATTTTGTTTTCTGAAGGGCTGCAGACTGGGACTGAGGCTGTCTTCTTGGGGAACCATATGCCACAGGGGTAAGGCCTCAGGTATCATCTTCAGCTGCTAATTGTGCCCTCTGCAGCACTGTTAACTCAGGTGGACTTGGCCAAGATCACAGTCGGAAGTCTCTTCCGGAAGACACCTGCTATGGCTCTGGGCATTTGACTCCCCAAGAGAATGCTGCTCTTTCTGTTTAACTTGTCCTACATTGTTGATTTCTTGATTTCTTGGTTTGTTTATCAATAAGTATGTCTGATACTTAGAAGGGAGACACACTTTTAGATTAAAGTATCATCTCTGGCAAGGGCAGTGATCTGTTTGCGGAGGAAAAGGTGTGCCTGAGAGCTTACCACCCTCTATTTTCTTTCTTCATTTCACAGGACACTTAGTTAATGCCAGCACAGACCTGATGAAATTAGACCACGAAGAAGAGCCACAACTAACAGAGCCATACCTTTCCAAACAGAAGAAGCTCATGGTGAGAGACTCTTAGCACATGGCCGTGTGATGATGGGGAGGAAGTGAGGATTGACCCCACAGGATGTGGCTTTATCAGGACCACCCATGCCGCATGGGCTTTGGAGGGATATGGAAACCAGAGATGGTGATAGGCCTTCAGTGGGAACGGCTGTGCAGGACCTGAGTGTTGAAACAGACCAAGGTTTCCCAAAACAGGAAACTATTAGTCACTAGGGTCCGGTCCCCCTGTGACTACCTTGACCTACTACACAGGGCCTGTCATTCGGCAGCCACACAGCGCTGTGTCCTTCCTACCTGAATTCCCAAGGAGGTCATCCAAATTGCCTGAGCGAAAGAACCCTGATGAGGTTCTTTCATCAGGGGCGATGAGTGTGTTAAAGCTTATTTTCATTTTAATTCCTTTTAATTAATGTTTCTGTTTAATTTAAAAGTACATACAAATAGTAGCAAATGCAACACACGATCAGATGAGCGTGTCTGTGTTACAAGCAGTGAATGCCTTGGTTCAAAACCTGTGTCCTGAAGTTGCTATATTTCTGTCAGCCCAATGTAACTTTCTATGAGGTGCTATGCCATCAATGCTGATGGGTTTTTAAAAAACAAAATTAATAGTCAATATTGTTTTTTTGAGACATGTCCACCTGGCTCCTAGGCATTTCCAAGGCTGCGCCCCCTACTCCTGAGGGAAGGGCCAGTGAAGGAAGCAGCTGGTGGGAAGCGTGGACAGAAATGAATTATCTGGGGTCTGGAAAGGGAATGTGGCCCCTGGAAAAACCTGAGGGTAGGATGAAATTAAGCAGGTGGTTCCATTTTTATTGATTTATGGAATGTACAATACAATCCAGAACCTACAATAGGATTAACACCATTAATTCAGTGTGTATGGCTGTAGATTGGTTTATTTTCCAACGGGTCAATGTTCCTTGATAGAAAAAATGTTCCTCACCCTGTCCTAGAAAAAGTCCATCTTGGCTGGTCTAGTAGTATCTGAACTGGGTGGATTGACCAGATGCAAAGGTGTAAAGGGCCACTTTTAATATGAACATGTGCAATTTGTGACAAAAGCAAGTGGTTTGGTAGGTGCAGTTTGTCATGCAAGAGTGGAGAAAGTGTACTTTCTGAAATCCCCACTGAAACAGAGCTGTTACAAGGCACAAGAGTCATGTCCCCCTCTAGCAATCCCATACATGGGGGGGAAGCTTGCAAATGATGTTTTAAAATTGCTTTTATCCAAACCACCCTGAATATCTTGGTCTGCTGGGCACCTCTACTCATTACAAACTAGTCAAAATAACGATGAAACACTTGTGTTAAAACACACACACACCAGCCTCACGGTAGTCTAACCATGGGTTTGCGAGGAAGTTCTTTGCAAAATGTATTCTTCTGATTTCATAATGAAGCTTTGTTGCTTTCATTTAGGCCAAGATCCTGGAGCATGACAATGTAAACTACCTGAAGAAAATCCTGGGTGACCTGGGAATGGTGCTAGATCAGATTGAGGCTGAATTGGAGAAAAGAAAAATTGAATATCAAGGTAAGCATCATGGAAATGATTTTCTAGGTCTGCTAAGCAGGGTTGCCAAGAAGCAACCCTTATATAGAAGTGTTCATAGCCTTCAAATATAGGCCTGGGTTTAAGTATAAATATCATTTTAGATCCATTGTCAACAGACAATAGCTGTACCTTCAAATGTTCCCAAGCACCAGGAGGGGATGTAGCCTTGGCAAGTTCCGCTGGCCTTTTCGCCTTCTCCTCTCCCCTGCCTGCTCCGGGTTAAAATCACAAGACAGACACAGACGGTATTGAGGATTTGCTGCACTATTTATACTCTGTGCTTTCTGCAGCATTGTAAGATTGCATCTTTGATAGTTGTTACAGTACAAACACATCTATTTGCTGACTTCATTCCTAAATATCCAGTAGCAATATAATCTGAGAACTTTGCAAATACACATTTTTCCTAACATACTTGATAGCAGTCCTCTATTTCTTTAAAAATATCAGATGTACACTGTTGACCCTCTGGTCATGTAAGTACTTTTCCCTTTCCTAAAAACTTATTCTCACAAATCAATTCTAAATTGTTGCAATAGAGACAATTTGCCAAAACTATGATCTTTCATGGATTTTGATATTTGTACGCCCAAACATGATCATGGTGATTTTGTATGTGCAGAGCTATCGGTTCCTTCCCTAGCTAGCAGATCGGCTACAGCTCCCCATGTGCCTTCAGAGTGCCCTGAGTCACCCTAAGTCCTGGTATCTAGCAAACAGAGGCACAAGGATAGTCAATCTGCATTAAGTGAGCACTTCTTCCCCCAACAAAAGTCTTTGAAGTATCTTCTCAGTTTGTCCTTTGATTTATCCATCAGGCAATGATTGCATTTCCACATCTTTGAATGTCCCGTTGGATTGTTCATGTGTGCCAAGATATACACTAGACAACGGGGAGGCGGGGAGAGAGATGATGATGATGATGATGATGATGATGATAACATTTCTGTGCCACCCCTTGCCGAAGCCTCGGGGCGGCTTACAACACAACAAAATGCAATACAATACAAAAATAACAATATAAAATTAAAATTAATAATATAAAATAAATAAAAAATATAAAAGATATAAAAGAAGTTATGAAAGAAATGTTATAAAAGAAGAGAAGTAAAGAAAAGAAGTCGCCCTGGCCAGAGATTGACATGAGTTTGCTGTTTAAGCCTCTCGCATTGTGTATGGCTCACATGGGTCTTAGCACTCTTGTTAAGGGTCCTCCAGCTATTCCTAGATATACTTGCAACTGTTCATGTCATGCTTCATTCCAACATATTCAGTGGACCAACTGAAGGTTCAGGGACAGAGAGAAAGCAGATTGAGAGAGCTACTCATACATACGAACTGCAGCTAATGGGCTCTGCTACTACTTGCGAGTCCTTCTGGACAGCGAATCCAGACCAAGTTCATCGCACTTGAGTATCATCGGTATCAATGTGAAAAGCTAGTCATGACTGCGACTTTGGCTTGCATCCAACCCAGGGACGTTCATAGAACTCCTCCTAATATAAAGGTTTGTCAGTGGTTGTTTAGTCAGGATTTATACTCACATGTACTGGATCTAATGCAATATTGTGTGAGGAGGCCTGCACACTCCATTCATCGCAGCGATAGCAGCAGGAAGACAGAGGTGCCTTGAGAAACAGGTATTTCCACTTGATAGGATTTAGAGAGATCATCGCTGCTTTGGGGCAGTGATGGTTTTGCTCCACCTGCTTGTCCTACTAATGCATGTGGACTAGCAGCCATTTGACCAGAGGCTGCTCCCCAGTGAGTGATTATAGGTGACCCACACTCTGTTATGCCCCATCATACACTGATCTTATTCAGCATGGGCAGACTTCTGGAGGGGAGGGGAGGGCCGCACTGATCCCGTGGAACTTTTGGGGAGCTACATGAGAGAGGGGACAGGACACATCCATTCAGGAACTGGATGGCTGTGGGGCAAGTTAAAGTGTCCTGTTGCCCTGCAGCAGTCGTGATCCAAATCACTGTTTCCACACTCCAGGCAGCAATCTTAACAAGGATCCAGGCTGATAGAAGGAGAACTCAACGTAGCTCTCCCCTGCCAGTGCTTCTGATCCGGATCCCTGTGTACTGCCTGCTTTAAGGACTAGTGAGCGAAACTTCATGTGGTCCCTAATCTGGAAGGGTAAAGAGAACAAGTGTTTAGCTCTGTCCTGCTTACTTTTGAGTTGTCTTACGTACAGCTACTTGCCCAGCCTACTGGTATGTGGACATGATGATCATGCCAACTTCTGAGGAATGTTATTTGGAAGTGCTGCTGACTGATTCAGTCCTGCTTCTTTCAGAACCATGTCTTTCAGAGGCTTGTCCTGCTTCTATTTATTGTTATTTTTATTTATTAAAACTACTGGTATAATGCATGATATCCTAAGGTGTCTAAACCATTTCCCTAAAATACATTTAATTGAATGCAAAGCCAGTGCAAGCATGTTATAAGGACATCAACACTGTTTCAAGAAAAAACAATAAAACCAGATCAGGGTGATTACTTGGCAGGGAAAGTCCAGGTTAGCAGATAAGAGGCCTTTAAGGCCTTCAGCAGTAGTTTCAGGAGATACGCAGAAGCTTGCCTTGCTTCGTTGCAAGTATCCACACAGCTCATGCTTACTTGTGAATAGGCATGCTTCCCACTATAAATTGGAATCAGAGCTTTGGATTTCCAGCCCATCCCATTTTTCCTCTGGCCCTACCCACCACTGGAACGTGGCTCTGAGAGTTTCCATCCCAGTCTAAATCATGCAAGTCTGCTGTTCACATCCTCAGGCTGCTCCTTGATTTCAAGGAAAAATACATACATACATACAGTACATACAATACATGGTCACTAGTAGAAGCCCAAGTGGCAAGGGACCATTCCTGGACTAGGATAGCCTAGCCTCCCTAACTCATGCTGCACTAACATACTGGATAGATTACTGCAATGTGCTTTATGTGGGGCTACCCTTGAAGACAGTCTGGAAGCTGCAGCTGGTTCCGATTGCTGCAACTATTGGCAGGGACAGCTAGAAGGGATCATATCAACCTGATTCTGAAATTGGGCTGGTTGCCCTTGAACTGGAGAGTCCAATTCATGGTCTTACATTTGACATATAAAGATTTAAGCTGCTTGGACAGAGACTTTAGGGAGTGCCTCTCCTATTATCAACCAACCCATGCCTCATGATCAGCAGGGAATAGTTTGCTCATTGTTCTGTCAACAAAAGCTAGAAAAGTTGGAAAATGGAGCGAGGTATTCTTGGTAGCTGCATTCAATATATGGTGAAATTAGGTTTGCCCCACAATCCAGTTGTTAAAACAAAGATCAAAGGCATTTAATTTTGGTCGGGCATTTGGACTCACATGTATAGTTGCCCAGGTGTGATCCTAGTGAGAGTGCATTAGTGTTGCTTTATTATATTGTGATGTTAATGTGTTCTGTTGTGAAGGTTGCTTCTATGTTTGCTATAACTGCTTTGGTGATCTGTGTTCCAGAACTGGAAGAAAGACAGGATACAACTACTGAATAAAGAAACATAGATGCATTTGGAAGGCCACCAGTTACCCTTCCCACTTTAGTTGGGGAGAAACTATTTGATCCTTGCTCCTTGCATACTTTCTTTTCTGCTGAAGATTTCCCACTCCCCTGGCCCCGGCCCCGGCCCCTCCAGCTGGTTTGAGTAAAGATATGGGTAGTTCTGCCCTTAAAGAAACTCCAAATGAAGATGAGCCAAATAGGCCTCTGTTCCCACTGTAGGGAATTCTTCAGATGCGACAGACATTTTCCAGAAAAAGCCATTGGCTATTCAAGATTACAAACATGACATTGCTAATAACAACACCTCTCAATGCTTTCAAGGTTTGGCCTGCACAAGGTCTTTCTCTGTGGTTTGAAAGTCAGCTGAGCTTGTACAGCTTGAACTGCTTCTCTTCTCACCCGGTGATGTAAAAATCCTTGGAGGAGAGTTACAAGAGTGCCAAGGTGGCAGACATCATGGGAAGAAGCAACCAGTAATTAATTATGGGTGTGATATGTTGCAATGTAGTAAGCAAAGGGGTGGGGTGGCAAGAGAGAGAATATCTATCGTGATCTCAAATGCATTTTGGGTTACAATATATTGTGTACAAAAGATACTCACAAGAATGGATAAGTTCCTCAGAGATCCGTGTTGTGAAGATCTTAGGTTGTATTACTCTTTTTGGAAGCTCTCCCTACAATTGCAGGCAGGGTTATATAGAGAAGCACAGCAAAGCTGCAGAGTTTGTTAATCCGAAGAAATGGTTGAGCTTTAAAGAAAAATAATAAAAGAACTGATAAAGAACATGCTTGAAATTATGTGATCATTGCCTAATGAAATCTCAGAAGCCAAACCACGTTTTCAGCCTTTTTGAGTGGCTGCAGTCTCCCAAAGGACTCCATGCTCTGTCAAGCTTCTTCCTATAACTAGCAAAAGCCATTATTCAGAACAGCAGTAATTGCAGGATAAATCATGCAGTGTAAAATGCCATGCAAATGTGTATAATCTCTTCTGCATAGCTGTGTGTGAGAGAGCCATACCTACCCCATACTCATCCATTTTTCTTAAAAAAAAAATACTGGCAGCAGAAAGGCGCACACACAGAAAAGCAAAATACTCTATGCATGCTGCTATGATCCATCCCAAAGACATCCATTTAAATAACAAAAGATTTATAAATTAAATTGGGAAAAAGAGTTCAATATTTTGCATAATTTAACTGGAAGTAAGGCTCTGGAAAAACAGCTATGCAACACAAAGCAGGGCAGCAGGATCCAAAAAAATCAGTTAGGCCGAGAGGTTAGCCCTGATACGACGTTAAGGCTCAAGAAGTGGGGAGTCTGCATGATAAGACAACACCGGCTGCTGCTCTTTGCTTTGGAGTGGAGCCAGACAAGTCACAGCCAAACTTCAGCTCTGCATTGCTGATCTGAACAGAAGCGGCTCAAGCTATACCAACCGAGATGACTTTCAGAGCCGCAGAGAAAGCCCTTGTGCAGGCCAAATCTTGAAAGCACTGACAGGCATGATTATTTGAAATGTCATGCTTGTAATCTTGAATCGCCACGGCCTCTTCTGGAAAATGTCTCTCCTCAGTGAGCAGAGGCGTATTTGGCTCACCTACATTTGCAGATTCTCTAAGGACAGATTACCTGTATGCTTTTCCAAAGCAGCTAGGGCTGGATAGAGGTGGCGAAAGTTAGCAGGGAAATAATGTGCAAGGTGCATGGATTGAAAAGCCTCTCCCCCTCATTGCTGGTCTTCCACTTCAAATTGCAGCTTCAGTGGCTACGTGGTGTGAAAAAGGGAGCTTTTCACTTCCTCTGTACAACTAAAGCAGAAATGGCAATGGGTGCCTCTCCATATGTATCTTTCGATCTATATTTTTCAACCATTTTGTGTCCTGCCTGTCTTCCAGTTGTGGAACAGAGGGCAACTACCACAAAACACCAAAGCAATGATAAAGTAAAAATAAATATCCTTAGAATCACAAAACATTAACATTGCAACACAATAAAATAACACTGATAAGCTGTCTCACTAGGATCACACCTGAACAACTGCATAGGAGATGCCTGACCAAATTAAGATGTTTTCTCCCAGTCCAGAAGTGCTTGCCTTTGCATGGTGACGGAGAAGAGGAAAATCTGACTAGCAACCAGTAGAAAGCCAGAATCCTAGTTTCAGATCTTCAGCTCAGAGGGGAGAACCCAACAAAACCCATCAGCAGAGCAGGGCCCACGTCTTTGTGTCTCTTTAGCTCAGCCTTAGCCAATCTTGTGCCCACCTGATGTTTCAGCCTTCAGCCTTCATCAGCCCCAGGTAGAATGGCCAACAGTTAGGAATGATGGGAGTTGTCCTGCAAAACATCTGGAAGGCACCAGTTCAGAAGGCTGGTTTTGCTTGATTGTGAAGAAAGATGGAGCAATTCTACTTGGTCTGTGAGCTCCTTGCCCTGTTACGTAATCACAAGTGTGATTCTGATCTGAAGATTAGCCTGCCAAAGCTAAGCAAATGGGTGCAGTCATTTTTGACTGTCTCTCACTACCACCAGCACATTTGATTAGGGAAGGCTAATCATAAGGTTATCCCATCCTGTTGGAACTGCACCAAAATGCCACCAAAATTTTAACTGTGGGTGACTTCACAGTATTTAAAGTCTCCCCTGGAAATTGCAGCCATGGGCTGATCATTCACAGTAGATTTGTCAGATTCTGCTGAGATCAGCAGGGGAAGAGGCTGAGCAATAGGGAAAGGTATTCTTATCAAGACTTTGTATTCTTGTTCTAACATTAGCTAATGCGATTCTCACACAAGGACACCATATTGGTCTCACCTGAAACATATTGGAAGATAACTTTAATTGCAGGTTAAGGTTCCAATCCTCCATCCTTTGTCAGCCTGAGACTGAAGCACTGACTTCCTTCTTCCTTTTCCCACAAGTCTTTGGTGGTTTACAGTTGTCAAACTGGGCAACGGTGACCAAGTTACCACTGACACCCTATTCCTAGAGAATCATGTAATCAACCCAAAAGGGAATGCAGTGAATTCTCAGGTAGACCACCTACTCAACCACAAATATCTAAAGGAACGCTTGCATCCATATATACCCTCCCGCCCCTTGAGATCAGCAACAGATGCCCTTCTCCGGGAACCCTCTGTGAATGATATTAGGAGGGTGAGTACTCGGAGGAGGGCCTTCTCTGCAGTGGCGCCCCACCTATGGAATGCGCTCCCCAGAGAGGTCTGCCTGGCGCCGTCGTTATTTGTTATTTGTTTTTCGGCGCCAGGCTAAGACCTTTTTATTTAAAACTTTATTTATTTATTTATTTATTTATTTATTTATTTTTATTAAAACATTTCTATGCCGCCCCTTGCCGAAGCCTCGGGGCGGCTCACAACATTGAATAAAATACACAATAAATTAAAACAGTAACAATTAAAATACATACAGTAGAATAAAATAAGCCGCCCTGGCCAAATAAAATTCAATAAAATTAACATTTAAAATGCTGCTTAAATTAACTTATTTTAATTGTTAAATTATTTGTATTTATAGGATTTTAATTTTTTAGCAGAGATGCACCGGAGGTTTTTAAATAATTTTTTTATTGTTATATTGTTATTTATTTAGGTATTTTGTTTCTGTTGTGAGCCACCCCAAGGCCTCGTTGCGATGGGGGCGGCGTAAAAACGTTTTGAATAAATAAATGAAATAAATGAATGAAAGCCAACGGAGGATCAACTTTTGGCTCCTGTTGGTATCCGCTCCCGAGCTTCTGCAAGGCATATTTAATGCATGGCTTCTATTGTGGCTTTGTTTTCCAGGGCAGAAGTGTGAACTCTGGCTTTGTGGGTGTGTTTTCACCCTGGCTGACATCTTGCTCGGAGCCACGCTGCACCGCCTCAAGTTTCTAGGACTTTCTAAGAAATACTGGGAAGATGGCAGCAGGCCCAACGTACAGAACTTCTTTGAAAGGATACAGAAACGCTTTGCCTTCAGGAAAGTTTTGGGAGACATACATACCACCCTCCTCTCGGCAGTGGTACCTAATGCCTTCAGGCTGGTCAAACGGAAACCTCCATCCTTCTTTGGAGCCTCCTTCCTCATGGGATCTCTAGGAGGGATGGGGTACTTTGCCTATTGGTATCTGAAGAAAAAATACATCTAATGCTGGCTGTTCTGGTGTTTAGTTTGGTGTTTCTGTGTGCTGTGTGAAAAACATGACGAATCTTCAGTAACTATAATGAAAATTGAAGCCAATATGAATATACTGTTAATGTAACATTCCATAGTTTAGAAGTAGAAACTTATACTGCAAGGAAGCAAATCAATGAAAATAGTCAACTTGTACAATGCCTTTTTTAGGTTAATGTATGCTAATACTGTAAGCAGCGGGTGTGTTTCATGCTTTACACAACCTCCGTAGAGCAAAACTGCCCTCTAGCACAGGACAGCACCACCAGAAGAGAGATGGCAACCCCGAGAACACAAAACTGAAAGGTGGGGTTCTCTTCTGTACCTTTTCATTTCTTCCAATGTTTGTTGGCCACATAGCACATTTTTTCATGAGTGCAAATAAGAGAGACTTCTTTCCGAAGAGTTGTCATGGTGTTGTGAGAAGGCAGAGGCAAAAGCAAAACAGAAATAGGGTGGGTATAGTCAGTTAAACTACAGTAGTTTGTGGAGTTCTAGCTTACGGTGGAAATAATTCATTTGTGCACCTGTGTCTCTCTTTGTATCATTATTTCCATTGGATCAAGTATTTTTATTGATCTTTGTGTAGAATGTATCCACTTTCTACTCCAATTTTTTAATTTTTTTTATTGTATTTTACAGCCAGCAGCAGATGGTTTTTTCTGACTGTAACCTTAATTTCACAGCTGGATTTCTGTCTTACTGGGGTAGTTGCCTCAAGCTGCTTTCATGAATTTGCCAAGCATCATTCACCAATGGAGCCTTTCTGGACTCTTAACGATATGATTGTTTTCAGAAGTTACAAGCCATTTCTAAAGGATTTCATTCTGGGTTTCCCCCTCACCCTTCTTTGAGGAGTCTTTTCTTTTTCCGGTCACTTTCTCGCTGTGTATTTTTCTTAGAAACACTTTGCACAGAAAATCACATTTCTCACTTTCTTGTGCCTTTTGCATGTTGGAAAGAGTAATGAGCATCACTGCAACTCATGCTTTAAGAACCTCTGAGAACCTAAATAAACCATATGTGAGAGGAGTTTTGGCTTTACCTTTCTACATGTGGGTAGCACCAGCTGACTCATTCCAAAAGTGAATTATGTATTCATAGACACATGTGCATTTTTCCAGGTGAGCACCAACACAGTAACTGATAACAAAGACAAGAATGCCTCTGAGTACATGCAGAGTGCTCCTCTATTATAAGAAGCTACACTATCTTAAATACTTGAGTGAGGAACACTGTCGAGCATTTGATTGTAAGGCACACTGGTGTCCAGGTGCCTCTCATACTGGAAAGTAATCACTCTGAAGGATTTTTAAAATTTAAAAGGAGTATATACCTGGATTTTAAAAAATCCAAAAGCTGTTTACAACAAATTATGAAACAATGTATTAGTATACAAGAAAACAACCTTTAGACAAATTGATGGATAGAAAACGCCATGGTCCAAAATGATGATTTTAATAATGTTTGCAAGCACTCAGTCAGTGCCTGATGTGTCACAGAGGTGAGGGCGCACTAGAGGGAGGGTGCCACCACCCCAGAGGTCTCTGCAGAATGCGACAAGACCTCCTCTCGAGACGGTAGTGGTCCAACAGCCTATATATGGAGAGAGACACTTTAAGGGGGTAGTGAAAATCTGAAAACCTAGATACCCGGTAAGGCCACTGAGCTCTATGAATACCATTGCTCAGCAGACCTTCCAGGTTTCTCAGTAGAGCTTGTGGGGAAGCAATTCTGAATCCAACACCTTACTCTATCATCATGGTTGTCTTTTGAGGCAAAACATAGTCACCACAAAAGACAAACTTCACCAATGTACTCTGCCAGGACAGTTTCTGTAAGTCTAATACAGTAAATGTCTAACAGAAGATGGTAATATTGTCCAAGCACCTCCTGAGTTGTTTCAGCAGAGGTGAGGCCTACTGTGGGCTACTGGCCGTGAGTCAGGATGGCTCTATGCTATGTGCAGCATTAGAACTGTTGCTGGGAAACACGGGGAGAGGGCAATGGCCTGCGTCTCCTGCTGGTGAGCTTCCCACATGCATCTCTTTGGCCCTCTTGGGAAACAGGTAAGGGCCAAGGCAGGACTTTGGTCCGATGCCGCAGGGTTCCCATATTTTTAAATTTCAGTAGTAGGGCAAATTGAAGCCCATCAGGCTTGTGTGGGATGTATTCTGAAAGGATTATCTCTGCTGGCTGCAGTAGTATTTGCCAAAATCAGGCAACCCGAAGCAGTGCCTGCACAGAACAGGTAAAGGCTGCCATTTGTGATGGATGCAATTTCTTACATCAAAGTGCTGCCGAGTCAAATAAGCTGAAATTTGCTCAGATCCCTCCCCTACAAAAATAGGGAAGGAATTTTGCACACGTGTGGAAGTATTAAGCAGCAAATTCACCAGTCCATTATTTTCATGCATGGTGTCAAAAAGTATTTCAGAAGTCAGTCAAGAGGTATCCAATCTTTTGGTTTTCCTGAGTTCTGTCAAATTTCACAATGCATGCTTCACTAAGCTTAATCACCTGGAAGCAGTATCCCAGACTTCTTGAACCTGATGCTCTCCATATATTTTAGACCTTCCCGGGTACCTGGGCACAGGAGAAGCTGTGCTATATCCCATGGAGAGTGGGCAGGAGACAACAGGATGGCGTTCGATGTGGATAAGGGCAAGGTCTTGCACTTGGGGCATAGGAATAGCTGTCATAAGTACAGGTTAGGTGACAAGGAGCTGGAGAGCAGCACTTGTGAATGGGACCTCGGGGTACTGGTTGACTGCAGGCTAAACATGAGTCAGCAGTGTGATGTGGTGGTCAAGAGGGCGAACGCCACCCTTGGTTGCATAGCCAGAAGTGTGGCTTCTAGATTGAGAGAGGTATTACTACCACTTTATACGACTCTGGTGTGCCAGCAACTGGAGTATTGTGCTCAGTTGTGGGCCCCTCATTACAGAAAGGATATAGCCAGGTTAGAGTCAGTGCAGCGTAGGCCCACAAGGTTGGTGGCCGGTTTGCAGGGGCTGGGGTATGAGGCGAGACTGAGGCAACTGGGTCTCTTCAGCCTGGAGAAGAGGAGACTCAGAGGGGATATGTTGGCGACATACAAGTATGTGAGAGGATGTCACATGGAGATGGGTAGAGACCTGTTCTCCCCTGCAGAGGAAGGCAGGATGCGCTCCCAACGGAGCAAAGCTCAGGGAGCCAAGGTTTCGTTTGGATGCCAGGAGGCACTTCCTGACAGTCAGGACCCCGAGGGTGTGGAATGGGCTTCCACGAGAGGTCGTTGAGGCCCCATTGGTGCGGGTGTTCAAGGATAGGCTGTACATGCACATGGTGGGCATGTCGTGAGCAGAGCCGGCTGGAGCCGGGGTCAGACTAGATGGCCCAGGAGACCCCTTCTGACTCACTTTGTTTCTATGTTTCTATGGAGAGAAATGACAACTGTAGAGAATGTTAGGAAGCCCAAGCAGAATCAAAACACACTGCAGGGAGAAGTCTAGGGTATTCATGTAGATGCACATATCCTGAATTATCCTCCTTAAAGCATACCATTTGCTAATGCATAATTCCTCTTCTCCTGAGTTGGCACTGGTTTGTCAAACTCCCTTCTCCTTCGACTGCCATCCTAAAATAGCAGCGGATAACAGCTGCAAAGCTTCATTCCTCTGTGCAAGGCACCTTCTGAGAGCAGGGAGCTGCCTCATAAGGCCTCCGGGTACCTCCTGGGTCCTGCTGCAAGTCATTCCCATAGGCAGAGTCAGCCTGCAGAGTGAGGCAGTTTCTGCAGGCAGCCGATGCTGGTGGAAAAGAGAGTATGTGCCATGTGACACGCCTTGTACCCTCCATACTCATTTCTATCAGGGGTGGGAGGATATCCCCCCCTTGCCTGTGTTGAAGTAAATTTCAACAGCTAATCCAGGCAGCTTTGGTATGTGGACTGGGAGGGGGCACCACTTTTACCTTGGCAGTGGTCAAAGTAGAAAGACAGGCTGGTAGTGTTCCTAAGTATGAATCTAGGGATGACTTAAAAACTACAAGAAACTTTATCAATAAACTTGCTCTTGTGGTTTGCATTTCCACCAGGGCCAGGTCTTTCATAAACCTCATTTTCTTCCAGATATGTTTATGGGAACCTATTATACAAGAATTAAAGCCATAGCAAAATTATTCACTTTGAATTATGCACTTTGAATAATTTTGCTCATGGTTGCCCTCCCTGTGATTTTTCTCTCCAGTGACAACTGATATTAACTGCATTTCTAAAAACCTAAGCAAGTTTGTTCCTATCTTCCCAAAGTGAAACATCATCAACTACAAAGTTTGCGGGCACGTTGATTGGCTTGTTCAACATAAACGGCAGTTGTTTAGGTTGTGGCAGGTCTGTATTGTATTGTGGGGAAGTGCCCTGAAAAACTGAAGTGAAACAGAAGGATCATGATGTTGCCTAAAGAGCCAGTAAACAACTGCAAGGAACCATGAGTGCCCGATAAATGCCTCGTACAGTAAAGCTCTGGTATACCCCTGGTAGTATAAACCCCTAGTCTTGTAGCGTAATTCTGATATACCACCTAGTGCCATTCAGTGGCTGTGTAATGCAACATACAGAAAGGAGAGGAAAGATGACTCCCTCCCACAAATAAAAATGTGTAAAGGAACCAGTCTGCATCCCACAAAGAATCCAAAAGCCTCAGTGAAGTGGCAGGGAACAACGTCCCATATGGTGTAAGACAGCTGCGATGCCAACTGCTTTCACCTTTTCCAGTACTTTGAATGCCTTTTCATTCTGCCCTTCAGCTTTTGTGCAATACCTGCAGCAGACTCTACTTGATCCTCAGTATTTCAGCATCATACAAACATATCTCAGCTTAATTTCCAACCTTCAGCCAGGTCTGTTCATCCAGCCCTTTTCAGTTTCCATTTGTAACTTTATTGCCCTTAGACAATCTCACTGGGAGCAACCACTGATCCTGCCTAATCTTGGAAGCTAAACAGGGTTGGCCTGGTTGAAA